TATTGCCATTGGAAGATCTGAAACTGCCATTAACAAAGTTAGATTGGCTATATCCTTGAGAACCATTTGACTGATTTATAGTTACCATTGCAGTTACTAACTATCTGGACCTCTAATCTACGTACACTTGGCTCAATCCTATACATCAATTGCTACACTCTATCATAGAGGAGTGTTGCCCTTCCATTACGACCTGGGTTCGAATCCTATCAGCTCCATAATCTAACAAATTTATTGTTCGACAAAAAAAAAAAAAATCACATAGGTTAAAAAAACAGCATCTCAGTTAATTCAATATATAAATGATTATGGGTTGTTTTATTCACACCCCACGTTTTGTTGACTACACCCCATATGTACTTTTTAAATCAAAATTTATTTTAATACACCTCATGTGTTTTTCAATGCTACCCTCCCACCCCCACCCACTCTACTCAAACCGCACATCAAACTCTTCGTAAGTTCTATAAACTCGTTTTCTTCATAACGAACAGAAGGCGATGAACAAGCAAAGGAACTAGAATCAAGTATGAAACAAAAATTTACCCTATTCTCTATTCAATTTATAACATTGTCATTCGGTGGGGTTAAATAGACATACCTTCCACCAATCTTTTCTTTGATAACATTGTATTGTTCCTTCTTTGTCCGAATATATATGAATTCAAATGCACAACTATTCGGTGTTGTATCAGTTTGTTCTTCTAGGTTGCACCTGCAAAGTGAAAAAATGTATTGCTAGCGTTGAACTGACCAGTTTCCTTTTCTTCTTTCCAATTCCAAAATTTCTCTTATCAGATCTGCAGAACGAGGATGAAAAATAATCTTTTTCCATTAATGTTTTGTGCTTCTAGTGGTTAGGGTTTTGTTATACAATGAAGGAGGTGAGTGACTTTGAGATCTTGAAGAAAAACTATCTTAGAATACATGTCTAAATTAACTTGGGGTGTATTTAGATAATAATTTTCCTTTTAAAAATTTTATTAGGCCTAAATGGTCATTTTATATTAGGTATATATGCCACTTAGCAATAAACTTTTATGTGGGATATTCAACAATATTTAGGGTGTTAATAAAAAAACCCATGATTATTCGTAACTAAAATTGGGATTTTCAAATATTCTTTGACGTAAATATATAATTTCTATATACAAAGGGAGAAGGGGGTGCAAGACGTGTGGTAAAAGACTAGCAGGTTAGGAAATTCTTGAAGAATTACGTAGTTTTCTTGTGTGTTAATTTTCCATATATATGGCCCTATTTATTTATAACCTCTCTCTATTTTAATAAATTGTTTTATAATGATACATTAAGGTCAGGATAAGAGAATAAATTTGTTTTATAATGATACGTTAACCTCTCTCTATTGTATTCCAAGTTCAAAAGTCCACAGGTTCACACTCATTTTCTGGTTTTTGGTTTTGCTGCTCCATCGTTCTACGCATAAAGTTAGAAGTGGAAAAGTGTGACATGCAAGGCATATGGATGCTCCTGTACATTCATTGGATCCTCAACTATAATATTTCGAGTGTGTGTATATATGGGAAATGTTAAGGAGATTGTCGATTTAAACTATATTTTGTAAACTATATAATGTGGTTGTTGATAATTAGATTATTAGTTAAGTGTTGATGTTGATGATTAGATTATTAGTTAAGTGTTAATTAACGTGTTTATTTCATATTGATGGCACATCACATAATTCACAAATATGATCTAAAAAATTAGTCTATCTAATAGTACTCAATACTCATACAAATATATATATATATATATATGTGTGTGTGTGTGTGTGTCCCTATATATTATGTATTATGCTTAAGATTAGAGTAAGAGAGTCGGTATGTATTTATTATGTAAGAATGCTCCTGTACATTCATTGGATCCTCAACTATAATATTTTGTGTGTGTGTATATATGGGTAATGCTAAGAAGATTGTCGATTTGAACTATATTTTGTAAACTATATAATGTGGTTGTTGATGATTAGATTATTAGTTAAGTGTTGATTAACGTGTTTATTTCATATTGATGACACATCACATAATTCACAAATATGATCTAAAAAATTAGTCTATCTAATAGTACTCAATACTCATACAAATATATATATATATATGTGTGTGCGCGCGCGCGCCTATATATTATGTATTATGCTTAAGATTAGAGTAAGAGAGTTGGTATGTATATATTATGTATTATGATTAAGATTAGAGTAAGAGAGTTGGTATGTAAATATTAATCTATAGGCCTCTTATAGGTTAAGGGTCCAATTTCTTCTAGTGTAAAAAAAATAAACAAAAGTGAGTAGTGCCCATATATTGACATATGGTAGACCTCAACAGTACCGACCGAAGCATAACACCAACTCGGTAAAGGGTAGTGTTATTCATACACTTATTTTTACTTATTACACATTTTTTTTAATTTTCGGTTGTTGGATCGAATTAATTGAAGAAGACCAATGACCAAAAATTAATAAAGAGAGTATGTGAATAGCACTATCCCCGGATAATTATTGTAAATTCGTTTTTCTATTTATTGATATATCATGCGGATACAATCAAAACTCCAAAATTACAAATTAAAACTCCTTTGAAGTTGAAATTTAACTTTTGTAGAACAAGGATCCGTAAAGAATATCCGTTGTAATTTATAAATCTCTCTCGCAATCCAAACCCATGTTTAGTTCAAGCCACAACACGAATTAGACAAATCCAATAATCTAAGTAGCAAACCAGAAGAAATTGTTGTAGTTGGATAGGCCTTGCTCGATAAGTTCAATCCTTTCAATATGTTATCTTTGCTTAGTCTTGCGAAGTGGGAATTCTGGCAATCCCAAAAAATAAAAGTCATCCAAAAGTGACCAATCATAGTACTAACCCCAAATTTTTCTCTCTAAACGCATATTTTTCTGAAACTGTAATAAAAACTAGTCAATCAATGTTCGCATTAATTGATTTTAGCTTTTACAGAACTGCAGGACCTAAAACAGCATGAAAAGCTTTGAGTTGCTCTGATTACTAAGGTCATCTCCAACCGAAGGGTTCAGAAGGCCAAAAATAGCCCGAAAATCGTCTCCAACCGAGGGCTAGGCCAGAGAGCTCGTGGAATCTGAGAAGGCCCCATAGAATCTGAAAAGGCTGGAAGGCTGGCCAGAAAACTGATTAATCATGTCGGTTATAACCGACAGGAATTCTTAAAAAGAATTTTGAATCCAACAGCTAGCTGACGTTAGCTAGCCGTTGCTAGCTGGCACTAGTTACCGTTGGATTCAAATTTTTTTTATTTTTTATTTTTTTAGGTTTTTTAAGGCATTTTTTTCCTATAAATACCTAAACCATTCCTCACAAAATTTTCACCATTCCTACACCATTTCAATTCTCATATTTTCTTTCCTCTTTCAAAAATCTATCCTTTAATTTTTTTAATAATTTTGAAATGGCCTCGTCTGCAATGAAAGGTAGGGTTTGGACCCAAAAAGAAGATGAAGCTCTTTGCAAGGCTTATAGATGGGTGTCGGAAGATAGTGTGAGGGGGAATTGTCAAACAAATGACAGTGTTTGGACTCGTGTGTCCAAAAAATACTTAGAATAATATGAAGGCACCACTCCAATGAATATTAGAAACCATGAGAGTTGTTCTTCAAGATGGAAGAAACATCTTTAACCAAGTTTGAACAAATGGCATCAAGCATTGTTAGCAGCCGTAAGTAGACATGAAAGCGGTGCTAATTACTACGACGAAGTAAGTGTTTTCACAATTTATTTTAAATATTTAATTATATTACATTTAATTTCATAAATTAATTTCCTTTAATTTTTTTCTAGGTACGCCAAGCGGAGGAATTGTATATGGACAGCAGCTCGAAACCCTTTCAGTTTCACAGTTGTTGGGAAATTTGTAAAGGGTGGGTGTTATTTGAAGATCCACCACAAAGAGCTCCTACGTCAATGTTCGGAACTACATCGTTAGCTGCAGATATAGATGAAGATGGATCTCCAACCATTCAACAAACAAGGGTAGAAAATCCATCTTCGGGTGAAGGTTCCATACCTAGGGCTATGGGACGAAACAAGGCGCGAAGGTTGAAGGAAAAAGGTAAGGCAAATGATGATTACGCCGCTCAACATGAAGTGGCGGCCTCATTGCGATTATTGGCGGAGCAAAATACCCTTGAGGCGGAAGAAAGGAAGTGTAGGCATGAAGAACGGGCCAAACAAATACAAGAAGAGAAAGATGATAAGAATATGGAAATGAACACTTCAAATTACACTCCAATGAGTAAGGCCTATTTTGATAGGAAAAAAAAAAAAAAAGGAAATTATGAGCCGACGGCAGTTGTTTACCTTTGACTATACTCCTACGATGGCAGATGATGAAGATGATGTTGATTATGGATATTAAATTTAAGTTGTTGTAGTTTTTAAATTTAAGTTAATATTGTTTTCGAATTTAATTTGTAGTTTTTAAATTTAATTTGTCGTTTTTAAATTTTAGTTGTAGTTTTTAAATATAAGTTGTAGTTTTTAAATTTAATTTGTTGCTGTTTTTAAATTTCAGTTGTTGTAATTTTTAAATTTAAATAATAAATTATGTTTGGCCCTATGTCCCTCAGTTGGAGACACTTTTTTTGTGACAAGGCTAAAACAAGCCCTCTGGCCCTTTGGCCCTCGGTTGGAGACGGAGGCAAATATGATCATATACTATTTATTAAAATATTAATATCTTAGAGGACTAGATGATTAAAATGAGCCATCTGACCAGCTCTCAGTTGGAGATACCTAATTGCATTGGTGTACATTACAAAATTAACCACATGCATGTTATAATATGTTATCTAGATGAGGAAAAAATAAGTTTAAAATGGCGCCAAATAATTAGTCATGTCAGGATTGAAGTTTTATATCGACCAAAATCTTTAGGGTTTTCAACTGGGACCCCCCACCCCAGATGCAATTCTGCCTATTCTTCTTATATAAATGCCCACCACCTCCCCACTTCACATCCCTCATCCTTTTCCTATTTCAGTCTTCAGTCTCTGCTCTCTGCTTTTTTTCTTCTTCAACTAAATTAGCTACCTCTTTGTTTTGTCTGTCATCAGCTTCTACTTCACACTCATAAGATAGGCCTTTGTCCTTCTATTTCAAGGCAAAATTGTATTACCCTACAAAACTGGGGTTACTGCATACTGTTGGGGGTTGCGTTGGTCCAACGAAGATCAGACACGTGGCAAGCATGAAGGAGAATGGCAGCAGCAGGAAACAAGGTGCACCCTCGCCCTGTGCAGCATGCAAGCTTCTCAGAAGAAGGTGTGCTCAGGATTGTGTGTTCGCTCCCTATTTTCCTGCGGATGAGCCCCAAAAGTTTGCTAATGTTCACAAAGTGTTTGGTGCCAGCAATGTCAACAAGATGTTGCAGGTAATGAATATTTGTATAATTCGTTAGACAAACGGTGTAAATTAATATAGTTTTAAAATTTTAGGGTGCAATTCAAGAAAATTAAAACTTCATGATCCATTTTAAAAATCATTTTAAACCTTGAAGGTGTAAAATATAATTAGCCCTAAATCGAAATAGAAAACAACAAGAAAAGTACAAAATGAAAAAGAAATGTAAAAATCACTATATATCTTCTACCCTTTTTTACATTTCAATTCTTTTTTGTACGACATGATGCTTCGTAGTCATAGATAGAGACAGGCAACCAATAAAGTGTCATAACTTGATTTGGGACCATATATTTTGTTCAGCCAAATGAACAAGCATGGCTGATGACGCATGATTTGTTCTACAAATATCATAGAGTGGTAGTGATCATTACATCAAGCCAAAACATTTCTTGTAGGACCTTTGGCCTCTCATTCGGGACTAGGATTACAAGTTTAGAAGCCACTTTAGGAGACAAACTTACTCAGTTGTACAATATTTTAAGTCAATCACTCACAGTCATTAATTTTTAAAATTGTCAATTATGATATCTTGGTTGCATGTAAGTTTTCACCGTAACCACTGCCGACTTGCTTTTGTGGTCAAAAGTTAAAAGACCATGTTTAATTGTGACAATTGCAGGAGCTGCCAGAGCACCAGAGAGGAGATGCAGTTAGTAGCATGGTGTATGAAGCAAATGCCAGGGTGCGAGACCCAGTTTATGGGTGCGTTGGGGCAATTTCATCTTTACAACAACAAATTGATGTGCTTCAAACCCAACTGGCTCTGGCTCAGGCAGAGGTGGTGCACCTCAAAGTGCGTCAGACTGCATCATTCTCCAACCATGGGTTAAGTCCGGCTAGCCCAAGTAATAGCAGGTCACCCTCATCTAAGTTCATGGGCTCTCAGGCCCGACCTATTTTCGACATGGATATGATGGTGGACCATACCAGCTTGGGAATGGGAGAGTCCATGTGGTCATGCTAAGCTTAATTAATTACTATAATCTAGAGAGTAATTAGCTTTGGACTTGGATCCTCTCCTGAGGCCAAGGAGAGGATTTTCCTGACCAAAGATCTTAGACCATTGGATGAAAGTTATAATTATTATACCTTTATAGGAATCCCTCTATTTGTAGCCGTTGAATAAAAATCCAACAGTCCAAGATCTTTGATGAGGAGGATCCTCTCCTTAGGCTCAGGAAAGGATCCAAGTCCATTAGCTTTGGTCATCATGCCTGGGTAAACCTCGGGACGCTTACAATAGTTAAAGCGGTGGCGGTGATGGTGACAGTGACAGAGACCAAGGCGATTCGACCGCTTAGTTTGAGATGGGTTTTCCATTAGTAACTGGATTGTAAATATTAGTTTAACTTATCGATATATATATTGGGTAATCATATATTGTCTTGTGGGACTTTTTATATTTGCTCCAAGCGACTTGATGACTTTTGGATGTGTGAATCCACCAAACATATTGGTAGTTTGGAAACAAAATTGGGAAGAGGACTGTAGTAGGATTTGCAGATTATGGAGCAGTAAATGTATGAAATATTATTAAAAAAATAGTTAATTTCCTCCTATTTTTGTCTAAATATTTGATCATTTGCTGCTTTTCTGTTATTTGCATATAACCACAACCGTTTGATATATGAAGAATTTTTTTTATGGATTTCTACACGTAATATGCGTGACAGACATATACCTAAAGAATGAAATTAATATGTCTTAAGTCTTTTTTTCTTGAAGAGTTTGTATCAAAAGAGTTCTTCAATTGACTACATGCATATAAGATATAACCATAGGCGTTGAATATAGGGAGGATTAATTATGAATTGTCTTTTTTTTGTCGAAATAATTATGAATTGTCTACTCTATACACAATATACTTGACTAACAAGCGTCACGAATTAACTGTTGCGTGATTGACAATTACCTAAACAAAGAAAATTACTATGTTTAAAATCTTTGCTTAAAGATTTTGTACCAAAAAAGTTCTTGAAGATTTCGTTCTCCAATCTTTGGTAGGTAACCTCCGCATTCTTGAGGCCATCACGTTGTTGCAGTATGTTCGTCTCTCTGTCATTTGCACAATTGATCTACAAATTTTCATGTAAGTCATTCCTACTTACCTACAAATTACAGTCTAACATGCTTGCAAAGCAACTTATTAAAATAACAAAAAGAACAGCTTATACACACACGCCAAGCCGCGATTTGAATTGGCTCCCATGTATTTTCAAATGACAAATGAGTACCTTACTACCATATGACGGTATTTGAACCATGCTTAGGTATAGCACAAATAGAAATAGAAATGTTAAAGTGGGATCAGTTTCAAACACAAGCATTTGGTACATATAATTCCAAGTAATTTTACAAATTATACAAAGAAATTAGAAACGAACAAAAAAAAGAAGCTCAAACGTCCTTGGCAACAAGTTCACCATTCACCAACTCTCTGTAAGCAGCCACAGGCCAGCTGAAGCCTCTGAAAACCAAGCTAGTAGCCAAAGGCACATCAATGATGATCTCCTTCTGGGTCGGCTTCTTGTCATCCCTAATGGCAATCAAGTAGCTCCTCCCAACCCACCCGATCCACCCAGCAATGTACAGGAACAAAATACCAGGCGTGATAAACTCACCCCAGTGCCTCTGGTCACCGCTGACAATCAAATGGGGGAGCCCATCGGACCCACAAAGCAAACCCTGCTTGCCATAGTTGGAAAACCTCCTCTGAGTCTTCTCTATGGTGGCCTTGATGGCTAGGGAGGGTGCACTGTCGGGTGCATACAGCTTCAGTGAGGACTCGAGCTTTTTGATCTGCTGCTTCTCACGCTTGGCGAACTGCTTGGAGTCTTTGCATGGGGTGAGTCCCGAGATGTCAGCAACTGCAGGCATGGGGGCTGAGCCAATGAGGATGGAGGAGAGTGCGAGTGCAGTGGAGAACGCCTGCATGGGCGATGCAGTGGATATTTTCTCTGGGGTAGGGTTAGGGTTTTGGGAGGCTGAGCAGAAGACCACGGTTCTTGGCAGCTTTGTGGCCACTGGGGAGCTGAGTTTCGGCTGAAACATAGGTTTTGAGAGGTTTGTGGGGATTGTGAGAGACATTGTTCTTTCTTTCCTCTCTGTTTTTTTAGGGTTACGGGGGTTGTGAGGAGTTGCAGAGAGGAAGGAGGAGATCTTGGAAGGGAAAGAGTGTGGAGGGCAGGTTTTTAGAATCTTGGAGGAAGACTGGTGGTGGAGGAGAGAAGAGGGAGAGGGGATAAGGTGGATGGAGTAAGGAGGCTGAGGTGGATGATTGTAATTGGTTGGAGGTTGTTTGGTTGTGGGTTGATTCAGATTTTCTCTCAATCTATCCTAGTCTAAAAATCATATCCAGATAATAAGAAAGTCTCCCTTAACTTTTGTAGGTTTTGTGCGCTTTCCATTAACTTGATCCAAATGTTTTACAAGCATAATTAAAAGGCAAAAAACTCAATTCAAGATAGATTCTCTTTTGCACCCAAAGATATGGTAGAAGTGACGTCATACATTTACTAAATATTTGCCACGTTTTAAAAAAGTGAAGTCATCTAACAGAACCCTAAAACGAACCGTTCGTGCAATAAACGCTTGTAACATCATAAAACAACTTCCAACTTAACTTGGAAATTCCCTTCGTAAGTAGTAATAATAGCATCCCTTTTTTTTTTTATCAAAATTTCTTGAATGTAACAACATTTTTTTTATCACAATTTACAAATTCGTCAACTTCTCCTGAATGTAACAACATTTTTTTTTATCACAACACCGTATTGAACTCACAAGCAGAATCCTGATCCCTCCTGTATGTATGACGAACTCTTGGTCATTTCAACCCATGTCATGCAAACTCACAGTATTATTCCTGATTCCAAGCAGGAATGGATTAGCCGGATCTCAACTTCTAAACTATGTGTTCCTCGAGCTTCATCAGGTCACAGACGATCATGGTAATGATGATTCATGCTTGAAGTTTTTCCCTATCATAAAGGTGGTCGTGTGACGATGATTCTAAGAAACACGTACTCCACATGAAGATCATAATGGCTGGAGCGTCCTTTACCGAATACTAAGCTACAAAATTGGGGCCTCGTTCTAACACGACGATTGCAGAATCTTTCGCCCCCGAGCTTCAGCACTGTACTTTGTGATGACATTTTTAGTTGTTATGAAACCTGATCCTGAGCCTCAAAGAAAAGCCATAGAGCATGGACTCAAAGACGGACCAGCCCCAGTCTTCAATTTCATCATTGCATCACCATTTTTGGATTACCTGGTCACAAGCCAACCCGGTTTCACTAGGACATCTTGCTTAAAGTTGCGACCAGTTACTGATGTAGATTCACCCTGACGACGGAAACACTGCACAAGAAAGGATGTTAACATAGAAAAACCTTATAAATAGCCATGAACAATTAACATAGAGTGCCACTAGAAATACATCCGCTTAAGAAATTTAAACTGGAAGGTTGTATGATCTTGTTGCATGTAGCAGGTCACCATGCCAGTTCGCCTTTATTTTCCTTTCTTATCGGTATCAAGCCATTGTCATAATATTTATTAATTAAAACAATTGTTCATTCTCCCACAAATGCATGTATTTTCCTATGTCTCAACAGCGAACCAGACGAGCAACTTAGAAATAGAACAATACCAGATTTTTCTGCTAAAATCGAAAATATATAATAATAAAAAAAGAGTGGGGGCTGTCTTGTTAGGCGTTCTTATTTTTTATGAAAGATGGAACTATCGAAATTAAAAAAAAATTATCCTCAGTGTGTTATGAAAGGTCAATGTTACCAACCTTGTAACAGACTATGGTGTCATCTGGGTACATAGCAAAAAGTTTAGTTCCAAGGCGTGCATGACAAGAATCACAAAGGCTTTCATCATTGATCTGCACATGCCTTGACTTTTCCTCCAGTATTGCTAAACTTGCATCAGTACCTAAGGCACGGGACAGATTGTGCACAATCTGAAAAGCAATTAATGTATTGGCTCAATAAGAAATGAAAAGCACAAAACATGGCTACATGCTAGAAACTTCAGAAAAAACAGATTCACTAATTTCCTTATGATATGGAGAACATAGCTCAATACCCACAAAATAAGAAAAGCAATGAAAGAACGAAAAAATTTCACAATCTTAAGCCAGAATGACAAAATCTAAAACACAAACGAAACTTACCCGTCCTTGACGGTGATGATGAAGTCGAGCTCTCAACATTCTTAATATAGTCTCAGAGGCAAGTTGAAGAGGCATATCTGGCGACAATCTCTGCGACATCAAACCAGATTTTTTGCACAGAACATGACAAACATCAAATACTTGGCACGGTCCCCAGCAATAGAAATGTGGTTTTAGCATACAAGTAACTAAACAAAAGTGTGCATTTGTGTGAACTTCAATTTTTCTCTGGTACCCATCATATCCCAAAAAGTTGTGTGAGAGAGAGAGAGAGACTGATACCTCTAAAACTTGCAGAGGATCCAATGATTCCCCGTGATTGTGGAGTAGGCGAACAGCAGCTTTAAACATAGGTTCCTTACCATCTTGTGGATCCAAATACATATCAAGTAACCTGAGTTCTCAAAGAAAAAAACAAATGGAAAATAATCAAGAGGCAATTTTAGATACATCAGAGATTTACTTAACAAGTGTCTATAGGTGTTTTTGTGTGCTTGTCACATGTGGAGAGAGAGAGAGAGAGAGAGAGAGAGAGAACCAACTGCATATAGACATCTGGTCTCCCAATCTCAGCACAATATTTCTCAGCAGCTTCACTGTTTTCCAGCTTCCTGAAAAGCCATTGTATACTAGTTCACACATGCTGAAGTTTGCACATAGAATAATTATTGTTTCAAAGTGCGGATGCTACTGATATTTATAATGATACCCAGATGAAATGGTAATTAATGTTATTACTGTGGATACTTTTGAAACCAAAATGAAACTTACAATGCTAAAATTTGGAGCACCAATGCCTCTTGCCCTAGTTTCTTGTAAAGAATAGCCTGTTGAATAAATTAAGAATCAGAGATGAGCAGTTGCAGCATCAAACAACCAAGACTGGTCATTTTGGCACTACAAAATTATCAACTGCCATCCATGATTGACCCAACAGCTAATAAAATAAACTTAAATGGCTCAGAGTAAATAATCAGTATATTCAGATAGCCAGGTTCAAAGCAGAATTCAAGACAAGGTCCATAAAGGGTTACGACAGACCTTCTCTGACCACAATTCTGATCCCTCGATCAAGTCAAGAACCTCCTCTGGGTCATACAAGTCTGAAGACTCCAAAAATATCTGCAGTCTTTCCCGAACAGGACTTTGAAAGATTAAACTTATTCTATTACCTGAAATGTTTGTCTCTTGTATTCTTCGAGGATCAGGGTTTTGGGAGGCAATTTCTGCTTGAAAAGCTTCAATTGCTGACTTGGCAAGTGAGAGAGCATATAACGTGTGGAACTGACTGTCACTGTATTCTTGATCTTCAATCAACCACTGAAGATACCTGTGCAAATAAAGAGTTAAAACTAAAGTATATGCAGTGAA